TTTTGTACTGCTACAATCACACCTCTGAGGATCAAACCCAACATTACTGTGGAAGATGCTACTGGAAAGTGAGCAAGCTGACCACAGCTGTGCAGGAGATTAAGTGTGGTGTGAAATAACATAGCAAGTAAACAAGATGGGAGCAGCTTGACTGTTTCTCTGTCAAACTCTACCAGTCAACGTTAAACCTTAGTTTAGTTTGGCTGTTGGCTGAATCAAGGCATGGAATAGATCTAAACAGTGCATATGCCAGGAAGAACGTTTAAGAACTACAATGGGCATTTCCAATTATTTTTCCCTACAGTTAAAAAAGGGATATTCACAACACTAAGAAATATAAGAAAACTAATGAAAGAGAGAAGCAACCTAGAACTAAGGAGAAATTTCCTTGACAGTTGGAAGAATTAACCAGTGGAACAACTTGCCTGCAGAAGTTGTAGGTACTCCAAAACTGGAGATTTTAAAGAAGAGTTTGGACAACCGTTTGTCTGAAATGGTATAGGGCGTCCTGCCTGAGCAAGGTGTTGGACTAGAAGACCTTCAAGGTCGCTTCCAACTCTGTTATTTTGTTATTCTGTTATTTCAGTGCAGCAACCTATTATCACACAGTTTTGATTTAGAGATAAATTTAATAATCTCCACCTAACACAGAAGGCAGCGATACCCTTTATCCTACTTGCCAAACATATTGCATTGCAGCATGACATGTAGCTTCGTGGCTGTTTCTTAATGCTTACGCAAATGGAGACCCACACCACGCAGCACATAACATTATTTCTGCAATAACTCCCAACTGACTGCCTAGGCTGGCATGGCCAGTGGTGAGGGATGCAGCACTGTGCAGCTCTGCAGAATCTCAGGGTCCACTGCAGTGGCTGCATACTCTCAGCAAACCCTTGCAAGGAGAAACAGTGAGTCATTGCTAAGCTGTAATTCATGGTTTACAAATCACCCTGATAGAGTACATACATTGTACTCCGCCTTGAGGTGACTTCTGCCATTCTGTTTTAAACCCTTAGAGCTTGTTGAATAAACCAAGTGTAGACTAGTACTGTCTTAGTGTAGAACAGGGTCCCAATCAACACTCCTCAAAAATAAAAATAAAAAAACAGAAGAGAAGGGAAGCGCATTCAGCTTCGAAAGATTCAGTTATTGTAGCTTTGCAATAGAAATAGCAGTGTAGGAGATGACCAGCCTAAGCCTGAGAGAGAGGTCAAAGGTGTCATCAGTCATGAGTCTTCACACCCACAAGAGATCTAATTCCAGCCCACCTTCTACTTCTATCTGCCACCAATTTACTTGGGTTGTTAGTAGTTCAGATTCTTGCAGAGCGCTGAAGCTTGTAATAAATCTTTATACCCATTTGAACAGCCTGGATCTCCTGATTTCCCTGGCGCTTGACAAGCAGTGACCTAATGTAATCTACCCTGAAGGCCTGGCAACCCAAATTGGGGGAGGGGGGATTGGTAAATTCTTATTCTTCCTCCATGCACAAACCATTCATAGCCATTCGGTATAAATTGCTAGAGCACTGCAGCCTTTAAACTCTTCAAAGGTAGCCAATGGCAACCAAAAGATTGCCTTTTACTGGTTTAGCATGGTGTGTAAGTCCAGCCCTTGGACCAGGGAAGTTTCTCCAAGTACTGTACCCACACAATGTCACAATCAGGTCTATATTTATCTTTCAATAAGTTTCAAATGATAACTAGCAGCCCTTATTACAAATATAACGAAACTATTTAGGACTATGGCATTAAAAACCATAGGAGGCACCCTGTTGCTGACTTAGGGTGCTCTCCAAAACCAAACAAGGCCAACTTTGATTGTCCTTGGATAGAGGATCACTTGGAAATCCCAGACTTGATAAGAAACTTTCCATGAGAAGACAGAGCTACCAAGAAAACTGCATAGAACTTAAACATTAACTCAAAAGCATTTCTATCTTCTATACAAATGAAAACAATATATGCCCTTCTATGACTGGACTCTACCAAAACATGAAAATATGGGTGTTAATCATGATACAATTAAGTCCTCTTGAAAACTAACTTAGCACAATGGGTTTCAAGAGCTCTTAATCCACTATTTGAAAAAGCACTTGCCTTGTTGCAGGGAGCAGATGCTATTCAACATCAAAAATTCTTGCTTTCAAAGTTATTTGGATCCAAAAATTACAGTACATGAACTTGTTCATTAAAAAAGGAAAAAAGGAGAGTAGGTCTTGGTGAAAGATAGAACCTGAAATGGCCAAGGATGACTTTATATCAAAATAGGCAAAAAAGCTACGACAAAGAACAAAAAGAAAAAAGAAAGCTTTTCAATATCACACAGGGCTAAATGGTGGGAGTCTAATACTTTAGATGCTTCATTCTTCTCCTAGATAACTTAATGTTACACTAATTTAAATGAAGGAACAGAGACTGACCCCAGACAACACAGTAACTAGATCTAGTTTAATGCATGACAGCCTGCATTACATTCCTAAGTTAAATAAGATTTGATTAAGTGTGGTTCGCAGGGTCTACTGAAGTACAGAACATATCAATTTAAGAGAATGTTTTCAGTAAGATGTCCAAGAGATAAAAATTTCAAAGAGTCATTAATGGGGAGGGGGAGAGATTTAACACAGAACAAAGTACTGGCCTAATAATATTTTTTGTTAACTGGAAAACAGGGCCAAGCAGTTTCAAACGCACACACACTAACTTTTGACAAAAACACAGAAGTTACTCCAATGTTCCCATACACATTGGGGACAAGCGGGTCAGGGCAAACAACCATATGCCAACTCCAATACACTTGGTTCCATGCCCAAGATAGAAAGTATACTTGTTCTTTCAAGTATGACATTGTGTTGGAAGACTTCCATCAACAGCTCTCTTTCTCTCTCACCCTCTCCCCCCCCTCCGCCCCCGACAGCACCATCTGTGCTCCCAGTCTATGATTTCTGCATGTGGCATATGTGCAGGTGGTAAATAGTACAGACCTATTTTACATGTAGCGCTGGATTAGGCATGCAGCTAAATTATGGCACTTCATGCAAATAAGCCACGAAGAACCACCTGAATTAGCAGTTCCTTGCTTACTAAGGGATACATGCTTTTGAATGGCATGCTAACCAACTAGCTATTAACTCAATGAGTGTAATAATGGTTGTTTTGGTGTCACTGCCATCTTATGCCCTTCTAGAATTGTGTTCAAATATGAATCTACCTTCCTTTTTAAAATAACCTATTTCTTACTGACTTGGGTCATACCAATTAAAATACAATGAATGAACCCAATAATGTAAAAATTAAAATGACACCACTGAAAAGGAAAAAAAAAAGATGTCTATTCATGCAAGTGACATGCCACGCTGGGAGCAGCGATTTTACCTAGCAGAGAAACAGTTTAGAAGAGGAACATTTTCTATTCCACAGAAACCTCAGAACAGCTTCTACGGAAACCACGAATACCAACAAGCATGTCGAGAGAGATCTCAGCTTTTACTGGAATCCAGTTCTGGTAATCTTACCGGTGCCCTGGGACTTTTACAATTCTGAATGCAGGAGTCCTTTTTTAAGATCCTTACATTCCATTAGAAACCACATCAAAAGCAAAGAAAGGATGAAGTTTTTTTTTTAACCACAGAATCATGTACCAGGAAGTATGTGTTGACCTGGAGGGAGGGGTCGGTTCTGTCCTTTAGCATTTTTTGTTTTCCATGATGAATTTTCCATCCAGAACAATAAAAAATCCGATTTAGAATATTGGTTTTCACTTTAATACAAAAAATACATTATTTAAAAAAAATACTCCACATACAAATCACCTGTGCTCTTACATAACCTATCTTTTCCCACCCCCACCCCCTTTTTAAAGGACAAAATCTATTTCCTCCCGTATTTAGATACAAAGGAGAGACCAGGGAAGAGGCAAAAAAAAAGGCAGAGAGAGGGAAGAGGACCAATCTTATTTTAGATTTGGATAGCCATTTGTCTGAAATGGTATAGGGTTCCGTTTCCCACCTAGGCAGGGGGTTGGACTAGAAGACCTCCAAAGTCCCTTCCAACTCTGCTATTGTATTATTATCATCGTATAAATAAAGGGATGATGTTTCCTCCCCAGGAATACCTGACAGAGAGCAACTAAAGCTTCAGACCAACGCAGTGGATATTAACCAGGTAGAAGGAAGAAGGTAAACGCGGTTCTTTGCCTAAAAATTGGAATTCTTTTGAAGCAAACCTACAAGTACACCCTATTAAAAAACGAGCTCTAAGAGAGGAGTTGCTGCTTTCTCCCTTTTTTGGCAAATTAGCCTATTTCTTTATGGTTCGCTCCCGCTTTTCCCAGGGAAACTCATACACAGCCGCAAATCGCTCACAACATACACAAACGCACACATTCTCTCCTCGCCCCAGGAAATACGGTTTTCAATCAAGTCTCCACAGCACCCAACCTCACAAGGAAGAAAGACCAAAAAAGAAGGGGGGGAAAAGCCGCGAAGGAGTTTAGGTGGAACTGGGTTATATTCTTTTGGCAATTACGAAACGATCCATGCCGAGGCAGGGGAGAAAAAAAAACAAGCCAGCCAGCCAGCGCTGGGCGGCAGAATCGGGAGAATCCAAGAAAGAAACAGATTTTATTCGGTTAGGTTTCAATAATAATAATAATTTGCTTGAAGGGGGAAAAGACCCCCACCGAGCAACAGGGCAGAAAGACCACCGCGATCTGAAGAGGGGGGCGTCCCGGGTGAGAAGTGCGAGCGAGGAAAGGTACAAAAAAAAAAAAAACCGGCTGCAACAGGTGATCGCCACTCCGCCAAAGCACACAAAGGAAAAACGAGCAGGCATAGCTGCCAGAGGCGGCCGGGCGGCGGTGGAAGAGGAGTGCGCCAAAGGCAGGGAGGTCCCGCACGGCCAAAAGGACTCCGGCGCAACCCGGGACGCGACGGGAAGTTGCTCCAAAACCCGATGCCCCGAGCCCCCGTCCCTCTCCCGAAGACGATCGCCTCTAACCTTGTAGACATTCTCGGTGACCCGATGCACCTCTTCCGAGCGCGACATGACGGGGCCGGGGGCTCCAGGAAACACCATAGACTGGTCAGGAGGACGCAGGGCTCCACGGAGAGCGCGGGAGAGCGACGGCCGCCACCACAGCTAAGATCCGTGAACGTTGCAGGCGAAGCGACTGGGAGGCGCGACGCTTTATATCGCCTCTCAGGGCCGGGCGCATCCCCCACCCCCCAACAGCCGCCCCCGCCTCCACCCGCCCCCAGCTCCGCCTGCTCCGCCTTGCTCTGCCCTGGCGGTTGCCTCAAGGAGCGCCGCCTGGGAAAAGCAGGCAGGCAAGTAGGAGGCGAAGTGGAGTCAGAGAGGAGGCTGGAGCGAGGGGGAGGGAGAGCGGACGGACTGAGAGTCAGGCAAAGCCCACACGCGCGCACCGCGGCGCGCCGCCCACCTTCACCCGCCGCCCACAGCCCAGTCAGACCTCAGGCGCTCCGGCAGCTTTCTTGCGCGCCGCTTCACGCCAAGGAAAGAGAGAGAGAGAAAAAGGAGAGAGGGAGGATGGATGGAAGGAAGGAAGGAAGGACACGCAATCTCTCTTGCCCGCCCACGAGCGAGAAAGTGAGAAAGTATGCGGAACAATTTCGTCCCGTCGCTGGCATCCTCGCGTAACGGAGGGTGAAGGAAGGCTTCGTTTCTCGTGCATAATGCATACTCGGACGACTTCTGCGGAATGTTCGCGCTAAATAACCTGTGATTTTCCGCGCAATCCAGAATAGGAGCAGTCGCCCACACACTCACACTGGTTGCAGTGGTGTATTAACCATTAAGCAAACTAACCACGTGCTTAGGGCACCAGGCCGAAAGAGGGCACCACAAAGTTGAGAAAGATTTTAAAAAACCAATGAAGATTTGTACAGTATGTCCAAATTTGGTGGGGGCAACAAGATTTGTCAGTGTTTAGGGCACCAGTGAGCCTTAATTTGCCACTGGCTGGTTGGCTTCTTAGTGTTGCGCTAGGAGCCGAATCTGATCCAAAGTGGATGTATACCTGAAACCTCAATGGGCCCTTCTAACGGCCTTGGATGAATCCGCCCATTGATTCACTCATTGAATCGGTAGAAATGATGTGCCAGTGCCTGGAGGCTGTCAGGGTCTGGATGGGAACGAACAAGCTTGCACTCAATCCCAACAAGACTGAGTGGCTATTGATGCTTCCTCCCAAAGATTGGCTAACTATCCCATCTCTCAGTCTGGGGGGTGAAATTATATGCCCCTCAGAAAGGGTTCGCAATTTGGGAGTCCTCCTTGATCCACAGCTGACTCTAGAATATCATTTGTCGGCTGTGACCAGGGGGGCCTTTGCCCAAGTTTGCCTGGTGCACCAATTGTGACCCTATCTGGACCGGGAGGCCCTTCAGATAGTCACTCACGCCCTCGTCACCTCAAGACTGGATTACTGTAACGCGCTCTACATGGGGCTGCCCTTGAAGAGTGTTAAAAGACTTACATTAGTCAAGAATGCAGCCGCGCGAGCGATTGTGGGTGCACCTCGGTGCACCCACATTACACCTATCCTCCGTGAGCTGCACTGGCTTCCCATTGGTCTCCGGACGCGCTT